CCTCTACAAAGTGCAGAGGAAACACGGATACAAAAGATGAAAAAGTGACTGAAAACCTCATACTTCAATATAGCTGGCCTTAATTTTTCATCCCAGTATTACTAACTTGAGTGATTGTAGAGTTACGTGTTCAAACTGAAAGCAGAGGAATCCAGACTATATTTTGCTGCTCATATTTTACATATCAGAGCTCACTACCAACCATCATCCCCTGGTGATTGTCATTTGTATAATGACTTGGGACTTATGTGACCCTCACTAACATCCCTTTCAGCGCCATCTCTGACACGATCTGTATTTTTGGAGGGGTTAACTGGAAAACCATTTCTCAAATGTGTTTTTAGTTATTACAAGATACACACACCCTCTCTTCAAGCATATTCATTTTTTTTAAAGCGAGCATATTGTGGCAATTATGGGGGAATTTGTATTCTCCGCTGACATCTGAAATTCCATTATCTGTATTTCATGGTGGTGATGGAGTCCAGTGTTATGTCCCTGGGCCAAACTTTCAGGGCTTGTTTTGTTTTTGAGTAGTGGGTGGAGATAACATTGTTCAGGTCCTCAGAGTAAAGCACATGTGAAATAATTTTTTTTACCCCCTTTTCTGAACAGTAGTTCTGTGTTGGGGGTCCATGCAGTTAACTGGTCTGTTCAGATACTGAATCCAATACGGGATGCCTTATCTTAAGCTTTGCTAAGATGGAAAGGCAAAAGCCAAAACAGGAACAAGACTCTCATCACTACGGTCGTCTCGGTTTATTGTTCTGTGCCAACAACTGCATTTGAGCTGTTGTGCGTATTTTCCTCCCCCTTCTCCAATTTGAACACCTTGAAGCTATTTAACCCATCTTAATTCACAGGCAATCACAGGAGCAGGGTGTGGGGTTAGGACTATTTGCCCAAAATAGCTCATAATAAAACACCAAGAAGGCTGAAATTGCTCCTCCTGGACTGACTTGCCAAGCAGGAAAACCATTTTTTTCCTGAAAAGCCAAACCATTTACAGGCTGTTTGGACGGTGTGCGTGGTGGGAAAAGGCATTTTGGAGAGAACATTTGAATTGGTACATCCACCTGACACATGACTTGTTCCAAACGAGATGTTCCCAACTCCATTAGCCAAGTTGTATGGGCCAGTTCAATAGGACTTGTGAAATTCAGGTCATCTGTATTCAGAGCAGTACAGCAAGATTCGCTGCTTCACAGACTGTAAGTTGACTGCTCATCTGAGTGAAAACTTCTACTCTTTGCTTGGATTTCACCTTGAGGTTGCGAAGTCAAGTTAAAAACAACTTTTTTTTCCTAGCAATAAGCCATAGAAAGGTCACATACTTCTTCAGACAGGAATGCAAAGGGGTACAAGGTCTTCCCTGTATAGGTAACTCATGTGATTTATAGTGCTGCATTTAGCCTTGTTGGAGCCAAATTAAGGGAGAAAAGCAACAGAGGAGATGTGGCCTTCAGGGATTTCCCCCCCCCCCCTCCTTTTTGTGCCTCTCCTTGCTAGGCTACTGCTCTGCTTTTGCTGTTGTAGGGGCCCAGAGCACAGGCTCTGGCTTCAGAAAGAGCAACCAAAGCTGTCCCTGTCACGTATGAGGGAAAAAACCACATCCCAGAAGTACAGGGAAAGTTTTCAACAGGGATTAGAGACACCTCTGGAGTCACAGCAGCTGATCTTGGTCTCTCTTATGCACTAGGGAGGCTAGATCCCAACTCCCGTATAATTCTGGAGACAGGTAAATGGGATTTCTATGTCAGCAGAGGGCCGGGCTAGCACACACCATTTGCTAGTAAGGCTCTGAAGGATTTTAAAAAGGCCTGAAGTTTTGCCAATCTCTCCTGGCTCCAAGGGATACAACAGACATGGCACTTATTCTAGTCTCAGTATGAAAAGTGAGAAGGCATCTATTAAGGGAAAATCAGCCAGCAGTGTGTTAATGTCAAAGCATAGACGTTTTGCTGGGAGCTTATCTGAAAAGAGACAACAGGCGGGGAAAAAAAAAAAAAAATCCAGGAGCTCTCACAGATTTACTTTCCAATGACTTTAATATTCAGATCACTAACAAGAAATCCAGTGAAAGAAAATATTTTCTGAAGTGGGTTTTGTTCTGCACGTTAAACTGTGTTTAGAGCCCCCAGATTCCTCCCCCTTTGCTGTAGCCAGTGGCTGCTGAGTATTGCAACTCTCACTGTCCTACCCCAGACAGACACAAGGAAAGAGGGAGGCCTGATGTAATATTATAGATACACACCATTTTGCCATTTATTTATTTTAATACCTCTGCTAGCTCTCCCAGCCCTGCTGGGTGAAGTCCAGCAGAATCCCCTGCCACCCTCCAGCACCACCTCTCCCACCCTTTAGGCTCCACCACCAGCCACAGCCTTGTCTGTTGTTATATTGTACCTTTTCCTTTATTATTATCTTTATTCAGAGGGCAGAGGATGCGCTTCCAGGGGATTTGGGGAGGAGAGCAGAGAAGCCAGAGCTCAGCTGAGATGGGGGTAACTAGCACCAAGGCAGCCCATAGCTGCTCTGAGCTCCAATGCAATTATTTCCCCCCCACCTCCATGAGATCTGCGTCCTTCAGTCTTTTCCCAGCTAAGCAGGTCTCAAATTGTGAGCGAGTCACAGAATAAGTTACAGGGGGTGCACAAGGAAAACAAAATTTAGAATTTGCCACTGTAGGACAGTAGTCTTGAGCTGATCACAGCATTTGCTACAGCATTTCATTTGGGTCTTAAAGAATTGCTTTGTGCCGCCTAAGAGAACCACAAAGAAACACTCCTCTATTTCTTATAAATATTAGCTACAGGCTCCCTTGATACATGGAGGGGAAACACTAAAAATGGTAAGCTCAGAGGCATCAAACAGGCTGGAAATTGGCCTGCAGAAAAGGAACTAAAATTTATAAGAAAAGGTAGAAGTGGCATTACAATTTAATAAGTTGCAAGCCATATGAGCTGCATGTTGAATTCTAGGTTTTTGGGTTTTTGGGTTTTGGTTTTTTTTTTTTTTTTTTACTATCAGTGATCATTTCACTTATATTACATACTGTGTTTTCCCACCTCTTAACCCTCTGCACCCTGCAGTTGGTCTGCACAATGTCACGTCTGTACAGGGTTGCTGCTGTAACTATACACAGTAACTACACAAAGAAACATCCGGTAAAATTGACTTAATCACATCTTTGACCTACTCTGTGTCCATACGGCTGTAATCTCCGGATTCACACACAAAGTTGGGAAACTTCAGCCATGCTGTAGGGGAAAAAGCGCCAAGGAGATATTTCTTCTACAGTCATGTAAACACATCATTTTTCTAAGAAAACAGGATTCTTCGAGAGGGCAACAGTTTCTCCTCCTAAGTCTTCTTGACTTTCAAGTCCTCTGTGTCATCCCTCAACTCAGCAAAACCCAGGTATCACCTGACTTGACTAGCAGAGGAATCAGAAGTAGTCTCACAGAGCTAGAGAAACTTTTAAAATAATTCCTAGGATAGCTTTTCTGGAGCTGTAAGACACGCTGTAAGACAATACATATGAGCTCTGTAAAAGCACTTTACTGGCATTCATTGGTGATGACTCACAGAAGTCACCCCGGCTCTGGTCCGTAGGGTGACCACCCGCCCCAGATGCCAATCACAGCCCTGCACTCCACCGTCCCGCACAACGCTACGTGTGAGCTAAGATCCACCCTGAAGTTTTGGAAGTCAAATAGAAACTTATAATTCTGTGCTGACAGTCCTAAATGACTTAAAAAAAAAAAAAAACAAACTTGCAATAAGACCGCTATGCCAAGTCTCATACCACAGAGAAGGATAAAGGATCTTAGTCCACATTGCTACACACAGGCTCAGAAGATGGTCAGAGAAATTTAAACTTCTGAAAAAGAAAGTTCAATACTCTGCAGATATGAGGAAAAAAACCCTAGTCATGTAAGTAGACTTTGTGGTTTGACTTTTGAAGGGCTGTTTTTCCTCTTTCAGCTCAGGACACATTAAGTTCTTTAAAACATTGTAGCAAAAAGCTCAAGTATATTTTAAAATATTTAATAACAACAACAACAACAACAATATCACAATTCACATACCCCCTCAAAATTCCTGTCATTTACTCCCTTAAAAAAAAAAACCAAAACTGTATTAGTTGCAGCTTCATGTTTTGCTTAAGAGCTGAGGGAAATAAACTTTATATTTAACTAATTGTATAATTTTGCCACCTACATTCCCAGATGGTTCCAATGTTTTAGTGAAGTTTCTGCAGACCATCTGCAAACTTTTTACATGTCCGGATTCTCATCAGGCAAAACCAGGCACTTATAGCAGGATGAAACGTGGACATTTAACACTGTGGATTTTTAATATCTGCAGCAGGCATTAACGGTGATTTTTTTTTCCCCCTTATCCTTCTTTTTAGCAGTTCGAGTTACCATTTTTCACTATTCAAAATAAATGATAGCAGTACTGAATGTAAAAATCAGTAGCAACTTTTAAGTATCAAACACATGCCTTAGAGGGACAACAAACTGTGGAAGTTTCAACAACAAAACAAGAGAAGCACATTTGTCCCCCTTTTCCCCCTCAAGGCTATTTTCCACTTCTTGATCAACTTTCACGCTGTTTTTTTTGCTCCTCTGAAGTTTCCCACCCATTCCCCTGCAGAGCACAGCAAGGAAAGCAGAGAGTTAATCCTGCAGTTTCAACTGGTGTGAGCCTTCCCTGTTAACTTGAATTTACGGAGCAATCTCTCCTTGAAAAAAAGAAAGGAAAAAAAAATTCCTCACTGCACTGTAACACCGAGAAGTATATTTAAAAAAATCTCCCTCAGGTCTCTCTAAACAACTGCTTAAAGGTTTGCTGTATCTTAAAAGAGCTCTAATTACCAGAAACTCCTCTCTTACTTAAGCCCAGGGCTCACATTTCTATGATAACTCAAGCTCCAGTTAATTTAGGGCTAAACCAAAAATGCCTGTACCAAACAGAAGAAAACACAGGCCTACCTTAAAACTTTCCAGCTTTTCAGAGGATCCAAGTCAGAGATTATAGACACCATTGTAGCAATGATAACAATAATATATATATATATAAAAACCACGGCAGGGAAGCGTAACCACAAAAGCAGCAAGTACTCTACTCAGAGTGGGAATGACAACAAACCCTGCACAGCTCTTCCTCCTTCTCAAGCTGATAAGCACTTGTCCCAGCTTCTCTCCACCCCCAAAATCAATCTTGTGCTATATTGCTTCACAGTCCCAGTTTCATTTCTTCACCACTACCTTTTAAAGCCCTTGTAATCTGCTCCAACTGATCAAATTTGACCTTTTTGTAGCCCACTTTATTCCAAGCACAGCCCTCAGTTAAATCTCTCTTTATTAACACCGTCCTTCTTGGCTTTCTTTTGGAACAAACACAGCTCAAGCTTGAAGCCTCCAGTCTTTGCCAGCAATCATTTACAGATTACTGCAAGCTGCAGTCTTCTCCTTTTGGGTATTTTCTTCTACCTCTGAGGTTTGCTTTTATATTATTTTCTGAAGGTTGTTGGGGGTCTCCCTTTCCCTATTCTGTGCAGGTTGGAGTTTGACACTTTTAAAGGAGGGACTTTCTAATGCAAGTCCTCTCCCCCCCTTACCTCTCACCCTCATATAGACAGATACACACATTAAAAACAGTTTACAACCTTTTGAATACAGAATCATCTTTCTCCCTCCTTTATTTTTTTGAATCTAATAGGCTTGATAGACTTGTAAGCTGAAGCTGTGACTGAAAGCAGTCTGATTTATGGGAAGACTGCTATTATGGTAGAATAATAAAAAGCCTAATAATGAAAAGACAGATGTTAACCCTTCAGATGTTTGAAAGGGGAAAAGGTGTCTCTATAATTCCATTAAATCCATCTCTTCTTTTTGTTGCTACTTAAAAAATAAATAGTAAAGCATCCTCCAGATCACTATAGTGATCTGAAAAGTTGTGTAACTGCTATGTTAGTGTGTGTTTATTTAGGAAAACCTAGATGATTGGCTTCTTTTGTGTTTCTATAACACTTTTTGACATTGATTTCCCTGCATTTAAATATTTCTCTTTTGCATTTTTCCCCCCCTCTAAATGTTTTCATGATTCGGTTTCCACTGATTCATTGGGATTTCTGGAAATTCCCATATTAAAATTCGGGGGGGAAAAAAGCAAAGCTGCACCTTATGAAGTGTTCAGTCAGAACCAAACTACCCCAAATGACAGATACTTCCACTTTGCTATTTATACCACAGGCATATGCTCCTAGTTTCTCTCTGCCACCTGTTCTCAAAAAAAAAAAAAAAAAAAAAAAAAAGTTAAGATCAGCCCTTGTATGTTAAAAAGAACCAGTAATATGATGGTCACATAGAGATCTGGTAGTGTGTGACATCACACGCTCATGGAAACATAATAAAGGATATAATAAGGCGTAATAAACTTTTGAGGCTGCTTTAAGTCTTCCACTACCACCTCCTTTGGTGAAAGAAAACTTGAGCTATGTCTAAATTGCTTTCAAGGCTCCCTTGGATGCTGTAGGCTGGTTTTGGCCAGCCTGAAACTCCCCTTGCCGGTGTCCCTATAGTACAAAGGCAGCACAGTCTTGCCCTTGCCAGAAGGTGACACTGAGGCTTCCCACTGCCCCAAAAAGATTTTGTGACCACTTTGTCTGCCAGACAGCAGCCAGGAGACAGAGGTCAGAGAGAAACAACCAGTTTTAAACTACCTAGGTACAAAATGCCTTCTTTGTTCAAAGGCCAGCGCATCATTCGCCCCTCATTTAGGACAAATGTACATTGAGTCCTCTCCTGCCTCTTTTTTCCACCCCTCAGCCCCGTGAAGCCCCTGGCTTAGCATGTGGGGCCATATCAGTTGATCAGTTTAGCAAGTCAGGCCCCAAGTTCAGACCTCTGGATTTTACATCCTCTCCTGGGCACCGGCTCCAACAGCTTTGCTTTATCTCCGGGGGGTGTAACAAGGATAAACACATCAGACACTGCTGATGGTGGGATTGCAGGTGCAGATCTGGGGGAGGAGGGTGGAGGACAGCTGGGGGGTTACAGATGCTCCACCTCCCTCTTAAGGTCAGTGTGGCACAGGGTGTTTCTCACCTGATATGCACATATCTGAGCACTTCTTCAGAGATAAGGGTTGTATCCACCTCTGGAAACTTTGGGGCCATATATTTATTTACCTACAGGAGATGGGTTAGACGCTTGCCATGGAAAATGAAATTCAGTTGCCACTTGTCATATGTTTCTTTGTGGAGCTGAGGAAACCTTCATTTTTAGCGTGGGAAGCAATTAAAAAGAGATTGGCCAGTGTCTCTTCCTTTCTTCCCAAAAGTTTGTAAACCACCGTTACGGAGGTTAATCCCTCACTTGAGACTGGGGAGGACATAAGTGGTTACAGTACACTGCCTTTTCTCTTTCCTCTCTACCTTACTGTCACATTTGCTGGTTTTAGAGCTATATTCACGTATTTTCCCACGTAAACTTCTCACTGAATGTTTCATATTGATGACCAGGCTCAAATTAAGAAAGGCTTGAAGCTTAGCCTGCAAACAAAATTTAAAAATACCCTGTCCTATCGTGTCCCCTTGGCAAGCCCAGTTTGAGTCCTTGTCACATCCTATCCGTCCACTGTTGCACGTCAAGATGAGAAAGAGGCAATGATGCTCTGCCTTTACACCCCACTTAGGGATCTAACTGGTTTCAGTTTCTGTACGGGTCAGGGGTAGGTGAGAGCGACAAGGGTAAGAGACTTTTACATTAAGGTTGGATGTTCCTATATCCCTAGACTTCAAGGGCTAGACACACAAAGTGGAGGACCGCAGTTTCCCCTGGTGTATAAGGAGAAACCAAGGCCAAGAGAAACAACTCAGCCCCTGTCCCCCACTCCAGGTCAACGCCAAACCAGCCCAGAACTCCACCGCACCAAGATGCTGAGTGTCTCTTACTCTGTTCATCCAGAAATTCCACAAACTCTCTCCATTTCAAGAATTTTATCTCTAACAAGTATATTTTATACTTTCCATAGGCGCATTTTTCACTGCCTTCCCACAGAAAACACTCCATGATTTCCTCCAACATATCCACGTGAAACCTATACCTTAGGAGTAAAGATTGTTATTCCTTTCCCATTTGCAATTATTTATGGTTATTTTTATTATTTTAATCTTAAACTTTTCACATCAGGAATGAAAGCCAGGTCTCCATTTTGCTGGACCTGGCTGGCATTTTGCCAGCTTTTCCTACAACATTGAAGAAAACAGCTATAAGCTTTCTAAAAATAAAACTAGAAGATTAAGTTTAGCACAGAGAAACTTGCGACAGGCAATGGATTTTCCAAAACAGCCTCACGCATTTCATACAGCATGTAGCTATAGTAGGAGAAAACAAATAAAACAGAAACAGAAACCCACTGTAAAATTATTTTAACTCTTGTGCTTGGATAGTGGCATTCCCGCCCACCTTTTAGCTAAATGTTTTTTTCTGTTGTGGTTAAGGACTTTGTCTTCAAAACTTTTATTTTTACTCTTTAGGTGAAGAAATTTCCTATGATCTTCAGCTTATTTGCCAAGAAACAGCCAGCACATCTGTGAAATATTACTCAAGCAAATTTATTAGTTAGCCAGAAGGCAACAGCCCTGAAAGTTTCCTCTACCTGCTGAAATCCAGCCTATTGTATAACTTGGGTCTGTCATACCGTAACATGTCCTACCAGCGAGAGCTTAGTAGTTCTCAGTTAATATGATAAAGAAGTACAAGCTTTCCAAGATTTTGGGTCATGTTAAAGTAAATATATATATATGCACTTTTGAAAACCGTATTCATATATACACACACATACACAAAAGGATCTCTAAGCAATGTCATCATCCTTAGTTTAGACAGCTGTGGAGTCAAAAAAGTTCCAGATCAGCTAGCTACAAACATTTGAAGGTCAATTACAGGACAAAGCATTTAAAAAAGCATAAGCAATGATGGCTACTGAGCATTAGAAAGATGATTTTATGTAATGAGATTTTTTTCCCCATTGGACTGAGGACTTTGTAGCATTGGGCAGGAAAATAAACCAAGTATAGTAAGCAGTCTGGGTTGGTTATTTAATCTTCTTTCAAGGGTGTTATCTCATTCAAAATATTTTAGGAGCCAAGGAAGGTCTGCCAAAGCACAACTTTTTAGTCAGGATGCCCAACAGCCATCATTATATCAGGCAATAATAGAGAAATAAATAACCTTCTAGCATCTTCCCAACACATATTTTCCATTGCTCTTTCATACAAAGCAATATTAAGTTATTTGAAAGAAATCCTGGTCTTTTACCAGGAAAACCTCACTCTCCCTAGGGAGCCTGTTGTTAAACAAAAGCTTATCTATTAAAGAGTGGCCTCCAACTTCAGGGCTGCTGTTGTGGGCTGATAAAGACTCTTCTCCAGACTGTCTCATGCTGTCCCTCCCCACCAGCATTGCCACCCCCCTGCCTCTCCTCCCAGTGCCTAAAGCCTCGCCTTTTAAGCAATGGAGTGACTAATTGAAAATGCATTCCAGTGCTTTACAAGCAGCTTTTCCTTTCCTGCTGACCAGCCAAATGTTTTAAAGTTGGCAAGATGCTGTTTTAACTTGGGAACTGGGGCACTTGTTCATGGCCTGGATGTGTGAAAAAAATCTGGCCGACTTCAATAATTCTGTTGGAAAAAAAAATATTAAAAATCTCACTTCTAGAACCGGTATGAGTAAACCCAAGTATTAAAAATCTTTAAAGCAAGTCCATTCCCTCTTGGTGAAATATGTGATCCAGGAGACAAGAAATTGTAAGTCCTGAGTTTAAGAAACGCACAAAGTCGTGCACCAGTGCTTGGACACAACCAGAGAAAAACCAGTTACAAGCAGGCATAAATCCAAATGACAGTTACCCTTTGGGAAAGAGTACCGTAACTGAAACACCCCGGAGACAGTCAGTAATCGCTGATTCATGGCCAGTCAATGGCCAACCAGTCTGGGATTCAGCGCATCTTATCACACACAGCAACTTAGAAGTTGGCTTCATCCAGCAGCTGCAGAGATTTAAGGGTTTTTCTTTCTTTGCTAAACAGCAGGCCTGATTGT